CACATAAACATAACCACTTCCCCACCCCCACACACACATCCCCCACACTTACCAATTCATTTCCCTATTATATCCACCCCACATAAATTTCCTCTCCTTTCTTCAAAAACCTACTTTCCCTTTTTACCCTGTCATAAAAAACCCCCCTCCATCCCCTTCCCCCCCTTCCTTTCATCATCCATGCCCCCCTCTTTCTACCCTTTCCCCATCCCTCCTTTCCCTAATCCCCACAACATTTTCTTTACATAATCCCCACCCCAACCCCCCCCCCATAAAGATCCCCTTAATACCCACTAAAATTCTCCATAAATCTTTTCTCTCTCTATATATATACCTCCCCTTTTTCCCATCATACACACTACCTCCCTTCTCTACCCCACCACCCGCTCCCTCCTATAAACTTCAACCCTTTCACATCTCATTCCTCTTTCCTCCTCCCACCCTTTCTCCCACACCCCCCCCCCCCCATTATCTCTCTACTCCCCTCCCCCCTCTACCCAATAACCCCTCCACCCCATCCCCCTTTCCCCATCCATAAATAAACTACAAATACCCCTCCCCAACCCACCCTCTCATCCTTCCCCCATACCTCTACACCCCAACCACACCACAACCTCATTTACCCCCACCCACATACCCAATCCAAACACCCAACATAAATCTCCCCCCCTAACCCAATAATATCCCCTTCAACCCCATCCAAAATCTCTCACCATTCATCCACTCATCCAAACCCCCTACCAAAAAACCCCCCAAAAACCACCCTTACCCCCCCCACACTATAAGACATACTAACCCCACCCCCCCAATTTCCCATAAAAAACAACACAATACATACTCCACAATCCAAAACAAAACATTAATCCCCATCATCCCACATACCCACACCCCTACAAATCAACCCACCATACACACCCCTTTATACCCTTCCCCCCCCCCAAACTATACCCTATTCCACCATTCCTCCAAAACCCCACACACATACCATCCCCATTCTAATATATTCACACAAAACAAAACTAAACCATATTTAACATACTTATTCCCCCCCAACAACCCCTAAAACCCCCCCATCCATCCCAACCCCAATACACCTTCCACAACCCCCCAAAATCAAAACATAAACCTAACCAACTACAAACCCATATATCTCTAATCCCTTCTTCCTCTTCCATACCCCCCCCCCCTTCTACATATATATCCATCATCCATATATATTCCATTCACCCCCCCATCAACCTATCTGACTCACCTACATTTGCCACCTCCAATATCCTTCCCTTATTTCCATACACCCCAAACTCACAAACCACACTATAACACCCCCTAACCACCCAAAACATTTACCTTGTTTAATTCCCACCCGATACCCCCCCTACACCCACTCACCCCCCTCCCCACCCCCCAAATCCCCCAATCCTTTTTATCTACCCCCTCTTACTTCATCCACATTTATATCTCCACTCAATCACATACCCCTATTTTTCAAATATTCCCTATTTTTGAACTATAAAATCCCCCTTCCCCCCCCTCTCCTACCACCTATTTCTACTTTTCTCCTTATACCCTCTTATTCCAAATCCCCCCCCCACAACCTTCATTCCTCCCCACATCCAAAAACCCCCCCATCTCACCTATCCACCACACTCCACCCTCCCCTAGCCAAACAAAAAACCAACCCACTCTAACCCCCCCAACTCAAATACTCCCATTCCCATTACCACCACCCCCCACCTCCATCTTTCCCCTTCCCACCATCTATATATTCCTATTTTCCCTCTCATTACCCTCCCATCCACTCACCCCCTCAAAACCTACCTACTCCCTCAAACATATTATACCAACCCACCCTCTTCTCATCCCCCTAAATACCCCAAACACAATATCAACACATTTATCCCCCACCCCTTTCCCCTATTCCCCAAACCCTACATACCCAAATACCCCCAGCTCCTCCCTCCACCCACTTCCACCTTCCCTACAAACCTTTACACCCCTATCATCACAAAACATTTCAAACACCACCCCCTTACAATCACTCCCCACCATAACAAAAACTTCACATCCTCCCCTTTACAATCTCACACATCCTCCCCATATTCCCAAAAATCCCCCACACCCTCATATATATCCATTTCCACCTCAACACCCTTCCCATTTAACCCCCACCCTCCGTTCCCATATACACTCCTGACTGTCCCCAGGTTCCCACCCCCCCATTCCCTTTCAAACCCTCATATATTCCAAATACTTCGTTTTCCCCAACTTACCCTAAATAATAATGCCCTATTCACCAACCCACCTCTTTTACCATCTCCTCCCTCTTACCGCTCACTATGCTCCCACTTCACTTTCCACCATCCAAGTTTTATCCGCCTTTCCCGTTATCATGTCGACCCCGTTTTTTCACTGTCCAATTTTATATTCCCCCCGCCACCACTACCTTCTTAGTCTACCACGGGGTTATTGCAATGCACCCTTCTATACCGTGCATGTGCTCCCCACATATATCCCGTGACCGATGAAAATCCCCTCATATCCTCTAACCTGTGCCACTCCTATCCATTTGTTTTCAAATTACACGGTTTTTTGGCACCATTGTGCCCCCCCATGACCCCGGTGGTTACCCTCGGTATTTGAAATATGCATCTTCTTTTTGGCCCATTACCAGAACCAGTACATTGCCCTTTGTCAAACCACCCTGGGGACAGCTCTTCCCGCTACCTCACACTTATCTCCTAACTCGTTCAAGTACACGGTTGTTGTAAACCCTTTCCCTTATACTTCCTAACCCTGTTTCTAAGAGACCAAGTTACTTTTTTACCCCCTCCCACCTTTCCTTACCAGTTCTAACCCCCCTTTTTTGTCTTATGCACCTCATCAGATTCCTGTCCAGGGATCACAAACCCCCCCCCCCCCCCCCCGTTGTCCGTCTCCTCAAACGTCACATCCAAAGTCCTATACAACCCACACTTGTAAATACTTCCAACACACCTATATAATAAAAACCACACAACTCTCCTTTAAACAACCTCCCTCAACACAAATTTAATTATTTTATACACCCTCAATACCCTGCTTTAATATAAAACCCGTTCCTCTCCTTGAAGACCAAAATTCTTCCAAACCCCCGCACCCCAAACACCTTATATTAATACCTTTTATGGACCCCTTATCCTGTTCTATCATCAGGTTAACCCAACTACCTACTCAAAAAATACATTTACACCAATCTAAATACCAAACATTACCACGCAAACCCCCCCAAAAACCTTCCAAAACAAAACCTTCAAAAAAAACTCCAATCTATCAACAAAAAATCCACTTCACGAACCATCCCCCCACCCAAATACCTCATACTCCTTACCAATTATCTTTCCCAACCATCCTTCCTTCTATCTCCAACCCTTTCCCCACCCCTACATACATCCCTTATACCCATTACAACACCCCCCCTCCAACCCCCCCACCTCATCCTCCCCCCCATTAAACAACCCTAAACTTTCTTCTCCACCCCACATCAACTCCCACACCCCACCCCTTTACTTCCCTCTCATTCATACCACCCCCCCCTTCCCAACCTTCCTTTTCCCATCCCCCACCCCTTTTATCCACCATTCATCATTAATCACTTAACACTCAATCCTTAAACCCCAAAACTCCTACTAAATATCTTCTTCACACACCATCACACCCCCCATACTCCCCCTCCCCACCCCCACCCCTATTCCCAACTTTTCCCCCCACAACCCACAAATCCACCACACCCCTCCAACCAACTTCACCAAAATACACATTACTCTTCACCCAAACCAACTCAACCTACACCAACATTACCCCATTCCCCCCACCACCCCCAAATATCAATATTCCCCCCTCCACCCCTATACCCACTTAATAATACCACCAATCCATATTCATCTCCATACCATTCTCTTCCTATTCCCTACATACCCCCAACACACCCAAACCACATCTACAACTCCCCACTACTCACATCTCAACACCTAAATTAAAATATTCACTCCCAAACATTCATCCCTCCCCCCCAACCAAAATTAACATTTAACTTTACTTTCTAATCACCCACTCATATTTACTACAACTCCTTTATTTCCATCCTACATTTAACTTTACTCTCCTTCCCTTCCAACAAAACCAACCCCCCCCCTCCCCACAACCTCCTCCCACCCAAACCCCATTCTACCCCCCCTCCCCTTTCAAACCTCCAACCCAAAACCCCAATCCAAACCCATCTAATCCCCATCATTCCCCCTCCCAAAAAACCCTAATTTTCCCCTACCCCCCTCTCCCATACCTCCATTCAACCTAAACCCCAAACCTTACCCTTCAACTACCCTTTTCACAAATCACCCCACCCCCAACCCAACAACTCATCCCCAACATCCCCACCCCCCCTCTACCCCCCATCCCTAAACTCCCCGATCAACTCCTAAGTCACCAACAAAAAAACCTTTTTAAAATCCCCAACCCTTACTCCCACCCTCCCACACATATCCATACATTCACAACCACCCTCCTACCTCTCTCTCCTTAACCTTCTATAACCCAATTAATCTTCTTTTCCATACTTTCCTCCTCACTCCACCCCCCTCCTACCCCCCCACAAACCCCCCCTTCCTCCCTTCCCAACTAATTATTAAAAACCACCCACTAACACCCCCCCATACCCCCAAAAATCTTACCCCCCCCACCATTCACAATCCACTCAAACATTTACATCCCTCTAAATTTTCCCCCTTCATTCCTAAATCAATCAAAATATACCCCACACCAACCTCCCCCCTCCACCCATCACCCACCCAATTAACCCTAATTCCTTCCACCCTTCCCTCCAACCAATAAAACCAAACCCATCCCTAAAATCAACCTACCCTAATCCCCACCCTCACACACAAAACATACCTACCACAATCAACTACAACTACATCCCTATAAATACCTACCTTAATCACACCCCAACACCATCAACCCAAAATTCAATCCCCCCCCCCCCCCCCCCTATCCACCACATCATCCAAATCCTCCAAACCCCTCACCACCTCCATAAATTCATCATCCCCCCAAACAGAACCCTTCATTTCACTTTCATCCTCTTCATTCCCCCTCAACACCCCCCATCCCATACCCCATCCATACACCAAACCCCCTCCCCCCCAATAATCCCACCCAACCCTAAAATACATTACCCCCCCCCCCCATTCTAAATAATCCCACCCACCAACAAATACCCCCCCTTTACCCCCCCCCAACCACCCATACTATAAACCCTTCCCTCTATCCCCAAAACCACCCCACACACAAATATACCCCTCACCCACAACTTACCAACCCCCTTAACACAATACCCCCCCCCCACCCCTCCCAAACACATATATCCCAACCCAAACCCCCCAAATACCTCCCCACCCAAAAATCCCCACCAAAACCCCTCCAACCCCATCATACCTATCCAACCCAAAAATTAATCACCCAAACACCCCCCATACATTAACCCCACCCTATATCCCAATCACACCCCTTAAAAACCCACCACCTTAAAATAACACCAAAATCCCATCCTCCAAAATTCCTATAACCCAAATCCACCCTCCTAACCAACCACACCAACAATCATTCCCCCCCTCCCACTACCCCCCCCCACATACACATAAAACCACCCTCACAACACACCCTCCAAACATCACATCACACCTTATCACCACATCACCATTCTCCATCAAACCCACCCCCCTTATCCCAAAATCATAATTACAACAAACATACCCACACCCCAACCACCCCCCCATACAATAATAAAACATCACTCCCCACACCAACAACTACAAAACAACCATTCACAAACCCCTATACACCACCATCACACCCCCAAACCCACCACTCACATCAATAAATATCCCCATAATACAAACCCCCCACCCCCACCCTCCTTACCTAAAAATCTAATTCACCCCACACACTATTTCTTCCTCTCCTATCCTCCCTCTCATCTCTCCTCACCCCCCCAACTCTCACCCCCTACCCACTCCCATCCAATCACCCTCACCCCTCCTCCCTTATACCCCTCCCCCCCCCCCCTCCCCCCATCCTCAAAACTCATACCTTCCATCATACAAACTAATTCTTCACCCCCCAAACCACTACAAAAATCCCCTAATACATAATCCATTTCCCAAAATCTTCTAAATCCCTATACCTCAAACCCCAAACAAAACTACCCCATATAACCTTATAATACCTCACTCTATTATACCTCACTCTCCCCTTATTCTTTCACTCCCCAACCCTACCTCCCTAAACACCCTAACAACCCAACCCAATCTCCACATATCTCCCTACACCCAACCAAAACCTCCCCATCACCCTATCAACAAAATACCTCCCTCCAAAATACAACACCCTCCCAACACCAATCCTATACCCCCCTTCCCATCCCCCACCAATATTTATACCCATATCATCTAACCCCATTACAACCCACCCAAACCCCCTAACCAATCCCAAAACTTTCCCCCAACACATAACCCCCCCATACCAAAAAAAACTTTACCAATTCCAAAACCCCAATCTCCTTAACCCAATATATTCTCCCCCAAAATCCCAATACCCCTCCTCAATATATCCCAAACCCCTACCCCAATTCATTCTTTCCCTTACATATACCATACCCCTATCCCTTCATCCCCCCCTCAAACCCCCCCCCCCCCACCCCCCCAACAACACCACCTTACTCCCCTCCCCCATCCTATACCCCCATCATTACATTATTCCCATACACTCACCTCATATCCCAAACAAACACACCCCACACTCTCCAACCCATACCCAAATTCCATTCACTCCCACCTACATATCCCTTTCCCCCTCTCCCATACCCACCATATCACACACATACACACACCTAACACAACTATACCCCCTCTCTCCAATATCTATCCCCAACATTCCAAAAAACTAAAACACCAACAACCCCTATTACAAACCCCCCCTCAATAAATAACATCACCCCCATCCCCCCCCCACCCCCCCCCCCCACCACATTTACCTCCCCCCCCCTACCCCCCTAACCCCAATCCTCCAATCCCCTTTCCCCCCCACACACACACAAAAAACCCCCCCCCCCCCCACAACAATCCCCCACCACTCAACACTAAAACCCACATACCCACTACCCCCATAACCCAACCATAAAAACCCCCAACACCCACTACCCACCAATCTATCCAAAATTCACCTCCCACAAATCTTACACCCCCTCCCACATCATACCCCCCCCCCCCATACCTTCCCCAATTCTTACCCTCAACATCATAACCCCCCCTCAACCACCCTTCATCCTCAATTCCCTCAACCTCCCATACCCCCCTCTCTTCTCCACCACACCAAAAATTCCCCCTCCCATACCTACCAATCAACCCAAACCCCACCCCAAACATTACCTCCCCTAACCTTCCCACCAAATAAACTTAAACCCACCTATCAAACAAATAAAAAAAAAACTCACCCTCCCCCATCTCCCCTAACACACATATTCCTACACCCCCATCCCCTCACCCAAACACCAACCAATCATAAACCCCCCCACCCTACCACTACCCCACCACCCTCCCTCACCTTCCACCCCCTCTATATTCTCCAAATCCCAACCCATTCCCCCAACCCCCCATCATCCCAATTTCACCATACCCTCTTTTCATTTCCCCCTCAAATCCACCCCCCCCCCCCCCACTCCTTCTCATACCTCAATAATATTCCCCTCTCATCATTCCCCTTACCCCCTACAATTCCCCTCCCCACCTACTCCTAATTACCCAACCAACCCCACACCCCCCCCCTACAACACTCTATTTCCATATAATTTTCATAAACACCCCACACATTAACCCCCCATCTCCCCCTTCCACCCCTCCCCTAATCCTACTACTAACCCCCCCCCCCCCCCCACCTCCCCCTCCCTACCCTCATCATAACATCCCCCCCCCCCATCAACCCAACCCCCACCCTCCTTCCCTCCCCCACCCATCCTTCACCACAATCATCCAACCTATTCCTTAACCCCATACATCCAAATTCTTCCCCCCCCTCCCTCCCTCCTCCCCCTCAATCCCCACCTCCTCATCCCCCCCAAACCCCCATACCCACCTCATCTTACCTATCCCACCCAACATCTACCCCCCCAACCCCCCCTCTCCCCCACCCCCCCCAATCCCCCCCATCCCCCACACCACCCCCTAATCATATCTCTACCCCAACATACACCATTCCAATTCCTCCCTCCACCCCCCCCCCTTCTCACACTTAAACTCACCACCCTATACACCACCCCACCCCACCAACCCCACCCATAATCCCCATCCCACACCCACCAACCCCCCCCCCACCCACACACCCCCCCCTCACCCAACCCTCCCCCCACCACATCCCCTACCAACCACCCCTCAAACATTCCCCCCCCATCCCATATCCCTCTCAATCACCTTCAACATCCAACCCCCACAAAATCATCTCCTTCTTAACCCCACATAACCCCCACAATTACTCCCCTATAAAAACCCCCCCCATAACCTCTTCCCCACTATATCCCCTACATCACAATACATTATATCAATCTCCCAATAACAAATACACCCCACCATCCAACCTATAATCCTCTCTTATCCCCAATAAACTCCCATATACAACCCCCCCCATACACCCCCCCAAAAACCCCCCCCCCACCTACTCAATTCCCTCCCCACACTCACCACAAATCCCCATCCCCCAAATTCATCTCCCCCCATTACCCTTACCTCCCCACCACCACACACAAAAACCCCCCCCCCCCCCCCCACAACCACACACACATTCCCTCTCCCTTTCCCCCAATTCCATTACCCCCCCCCATCTTTCTTCCTCTCTCGTCCCCTCTCCAAATATTCTTCTCTCCTATCCCTAACACTCTCCTAAAAATCCCCATCCAACATCTAAAAAATCCCCCCTTCACACCCCACCACCTCACATCCCTTTTCCTCATATTCCCTCTCATACTATAAACCCACATCCATAACCCAAAAATACCCCCCTCCACACTCTCCCTCAAAATCCCATTTACCCTCTTCCCTCCCAACTACTCATATTCCCCTCCCCCCCCTCCCATTCCTTTACTTCCCTCCCCCCATTCACTCTAACATTCCCACCCCTAATACCACCACCCCCCCCCCACCCATCAAAACCCTCACCTTCACCCCACAAATAACCCCATCCCCACCCCATTCCCCATAACAAATAAATCTACAAACAAATCCACACATTACTATCTTTCAAAACAACTAAAAAAAACCCCCCCTAACTAACCCCAACACCCCCCACAAACCCAATACACTCTCCCACAACCCCCCCACCAACCTAATTCCCCCCTCCCCCCCCACAATCTCTCCCCCCCTACACAATAATCCACACTTACCTCTATCTAACCATACACCCAACACTCACCTACCCCAAACACCCACCCCCCCCTCTAATACTAACACACAAAAAAAACCCCAACTACCATAACCCCAAAAACCCCCCCACAACACCATTACTTATATCTCCCCTCAAAAAACCTATCCCCCCCTAATAACCCAAATTACCCCCCCTTAAAACCCACCCATCAAACTCCTACACCCCTAAATCCTCTCCCTACCCCCTCATTCCCCCCATCCATCCCCCCCCCTCTAAAATAATACATATTACCAACATCAACAAATTAAAACTACATCCATACCCCCCCAACATCCACCACCAACCCCACAAATAACCAAATCCCATACCATACAACCCACCCCACTAACCCCAATATCTATACTCCCTTTCACACCCCCATTCCCACCACCCCCAACCCACATCACCCTCTCCAACCCTTAATTTCTCAACACCCATCCAACCCCCACACCCACACCCTACTTCCATTTAAACCCCCCCCACCAATCAACAAACCCCCCAACACATACCCCACCCCCCATCCCCCCCCCCCCCCACCCCCACACAACAACACCCCCCCCCAACCAAAACAACAACCATACACAACCAACATACCCACAAACACACAACACCCCACACACAAACCACAAACCCAACACACCCCCACCAAACCCCAAAAAACATACCACAACCCCCCCACAACACTCACACCAACACAATACCCCCCCACCACACCACACACACACCCACACACAACCCACCCCCACACACACACCCCACACACACACCCCCAACACAACAAACCCCACCAACCACCCACCCACCACCCCCACACACCACAACACCACACACACCCACACCCAACAAACACACCACACCCCCACCAAACACACCACCCCCCACACCCCACACACCCACACCCCCCACACACACCCACACACACACAATACACACCACACCCCCCACCCCACCACCCACCCACACACCACAACCCCCACACCCCCACACACACCCCCACAACCACTACACCACCCTCACCAAATACCCCCCCTCCCACATCCCCAAACAAACAAACACACACAAAAAAAACAACACACAAAAACAAAAACCCACCCACCAAACAAAACCCCCAATCAAACCCCATCAACAAAATAACCCTACAAAACCTCATCCAACAACCCACCCCCCCACCACCCCATCCCCCTTACCCCCCCCCCCTATATCTACCCCCCCTATTCCACACCCCATCCCCCCTTACACTCCCATCACCCTTCAACATCCCCCATCTATTCCCTAACCTCCCTCTATATTCCAACATTCCATAACAACAACCCAATATAACCCTCCCAATAAAAAATACACCACTCCCACCATATCATATATAATAATAACCTCTACCACAAATCCCATTCCAAACTACCAATGTAACACCCCCCCCCCTAAACATCCCAACATACCCCCCCCACTCCCCCCCCCATCTCAAATCCCATAACAAACTAACATACCATCCCCCCCTCACTCCAACTAAACCCCCCCTCACCCCCACTAACCCATCACCCATTCCCACATACCAACTAAAACACCCCCATAAATCCCTAAATACATACCCAAAAACCTCTATCCCAAAAACCTCTCTCTCTATCCCCCTTTTCCCCCCCCACCCCACCCCCCTCACACCTCCCCCCCCTTTCACCCAAACAACCCCTACAAATACCTCCCACTAACATAAAACCCAACTCATCTATTCACATAATATTAAAAATAATACACCCCCCCCCTACCCCACACCAATCAATCATCCCCCCCATAACCCCATCCATTCATCACCCACCTTATCACCAAAAAAACATATTTCAAAAAAAATTTATTACTCAACAAAACCCCTTACACCAAATCAACAATACTCCCCATTCCCCCCCATTACAAACAACCCTTCAAAAACATACAACCCATCCTTCACCCACCTAACCCCCCCCCCCCACCCCAAACCCCATACCAAACCTAACCTACCCCCCCCTACCAAACCCCATTATAAATCATCCCCCCACCTCCAACAAACATACACCACCCCCTTCCCCATAACTACACCCACCCACCCCAAAATCCACAAATCCCTAACAACCCATCCCCCCCCTCAAATAACATATTAATCCTCAATCACAATCCACCCCCACCCACACACAAACCACACCACCTAAAAATAATACTATTCTATCTCACTATCAACCCATCCCCTCTTCCCCCCACCCCCACATAATCACCCATAACCCTCCTAAACCACTCCCCACCAATACAAACAATCCACCCCTAACATATAAACACCTCCCACATATCAACAATATCCCCCACCCCCCCCAATAACCAAACCCATTTCCAACCCCATTACTCCACCCTATCCTACCTAAAAAATACCATATAACATCCAACCACCCCCCACCCCCCAATCCACCACACCCCAATAAACCCCCCATAACCCATCCACCTCCCCCCCCCCCCCAACACCCATCCCCACCCCCCCCCCCCCCACCCATCCTACACCCCAAACAAACTCCCCCTCCAATACCCCAAACAATACACCCCCCAACTCAACCCCCTCACTTCACCCCCCCCCCCACCACCCCACCACCCATACCCCCACAACACTTCCAAACCCCTCCCAATCCCTCCCCTACACCCCCCCCCCAAACCCATACCTCTCCTAATTACTAATCCATATTTCAATACCCACAACCCCCCCACAACACCACACCCCACAACCCCCCACTACCCTTCCCCCCCCATACCCCCCCAAACAACCCCCACCAACCCCCCCATCACCCCTAACACCCCCTATCCCATTAAACCCCCCCCAACCCCCCACCCATCCAACCCACCCCCCCTCCCACCCCCCCCCACCCCCACCCCCCCCCACCCAAACAAACTACCCACCCAACCACCCCAATACAACCCCCCCCCTACCCCCATACCCACTACCCCCATCCCCACATCCCCCCCAACCACCTCCACATCCCCCAAAACCCCCCCCCCCCCCCCAATCCAAACCCCCCCCCACACCCACCCCTACCCCCCAACCCCCCCACATCAACCTCCCCCACCATTACCCTCCCTAACCATACCCCTTCTAACCACCTTTCTTAACATAATCTCATCACAATACAACACCCCAAATTAACCCCAAAAATTCAACATTCTCCTCCTCAACATACCCCACCCAATCCCCCCCCACTCCCAAAACCATAATTACCACCTCCCTAAATACAAACCCCACCACCACCACCACCCCCCCACACACACCCACCCACCCCAAATCCTCATAACTTACCCCCTTCACTCTCTCTCCAATCTCTCATTAAATCATCTATCTCTCATTCACTCTCTTCTCTCAAACTCTTCACTTTCAATCTCACTCTTTTACTCTCAATCTCTCATTACTCTATTTTCATTCACTCTTCTACATTTCTCTCTCTCTTTCTCTAACACCCACCTCTCTCTTTCAAACTCTTTCAATTCTCACTCTTTCTCTTTCTATTCTCTTCATTCACTCTCTATCACTCTTTCTCTCACTCATTCACTCTCTATCTCTATCAAACTCATTCACTCTCTCTCTCAAACTCTTCACTCTCTCTCACATTCAACTCTCACTATCTCTCTCACCCTCCCTCCCTCTCTCTCATTCCTTTACACTCTCTAAAAATCACTCTCACTCCAACATTCACTTCAATCACTCTCCCTTCACACTCCCCCACTCTCACCATTCCTCTCTTCCCTCCACTAATCCTCCTCATCAATCAATCACCCCAAATCCTCTTCCCACCCTCTATTCCCCCTACCCCCCTCCTTCATATACACAATCCTCCTACTACTCACCCCCCATCTTCCCCTCTCCCTCACCTCCATCCCTCTCATTAACCCTAATCTCACACCTACACCCCACCTCCATACCCACTATTCAATCCACTCCCTTCCATCCATATCCCCCCACAATTCAAACAACACCCACCTCCACATCCTTACCCCCCCCCCCCCATCCTCAACCAACCCCCCTCCCCCCCCTTCATTATACCCCTTTCTAATATCCCTTTCTTTTAACCCAAAACAACAACCTCCATCTATACACTATACCCCACCTATAAAAACCCAAAAAATCTCCTTCACACCAAAAACCATCCCCCCACAATCCTTCCCCCCCCACCTTCCCAATAACCCCATAAACCCCCCCTAACACCATACCCCCCCACACCCATACCCACCACATTATCACACACCCTAAATACAAAACAACACCATATCCCCCCTACACCACATATCCACACAACCCCACAACCTACAACACCCACCCCCATCAACATACCCTTCCCCAATCCCATCCTATAACTAAACAAAAACACTACCCCAACCCCCTTTCTAAATTTTCCAACTATTCCCACACATATATCCCCCCCACCTTCCCCCACCCACCACACCCCCCCACTACCCCAACCACCCACCCCCCCTTCCTCCAATAACTATCCATTTCCACCATACTTAACACCTCTCACAACAAACCCTTCTAAAATCATCTTTCCCCTTTCTTACCTCTCTCTTACCCATTAACATACTTACCTCCTACATATTACATACCCCCCACTCCACATTACATCTCACTTACCCCCCTACTCCTATCCTAACTTCTCTCATCAAACCCACCAATACCCCAAACCCAACTAACCCCCCCCACCACCTCTTCCCATATCCCCCTTTCCTCTCTTCTTCATAACCACCCATAACCTACCCTTCCACACCAAAACCCCCCCTAACACACCAAACCCCCACACCCCCACTCCCCCCTCACAATACACTTCACCCACCCCCACAAATATTAACTCCATACCCCAAAAACCCAACCACCTCCCCCCCCCAATTTACCATACTCCCCCTATTACTCCACCCCCAAAAAACTAAACACCTACCAAATTACATCATCCCCACACAATCAATCCCCTAAAACCATTAACCCACCCATACCACCCCCCCTAACCCCCCCCAACCCCTCACTACCCCCTCTCCATCCTAACAAAAATCCCCTACCTCCTAAAACCACCTTCCCCCCCCCCTCCCCACACCACCCTTCCCCCCCTCCCCCCCCCCCCCCCCAACCCCCATATACATCCCCTATAATCCACCCCCATACACCACCAATCCCCACTCCACCACCAAACCACCCCCCACCATATCCCTCTCCTTTCACCACCACAAACCCCTACATAATACCCATCCCTTACATCCCTCCCCAATCCAAACAATTTTCCAAATACCCAAAAAAACCCCCCCCCCCCTATTACCATACTAATCTCTCCCCCCCCCCCAAACCCCCCCAACCCCCCCCCCCACCCCCCCCCCCCCCCCCCAACCTATATCCATACACCCATCCTCACCCACCCCAACCTACAAATCTCTTCATTCCCATCCCCCTAACCAAACCCCCCCCCCCCCATTTCCCCACCAACCCCCTTATAACCACCCCAAAAACCATTAATCCCCATTATTCTCATATATACCACATATTCAACCAACTTCCAAACCACCCATTCAACCAATCCCATAAAAACCCTAATCTAAAAACCCACAAAATCCTTTCAAACCCCCAAAATAAACCCACCCCTCTTCCACCCCAAACCCCAACCCCCAACCATCCTCCCACTTACACCATCCCATCATCCCTACCCAACCCTCCCTTCCAAACACCTATATTACCTCAACCCACTTCTACCCCCCCCCCCCCCCCCCCCCCCCCCCCCCCCCCCCCCCCCCCCCCCCCCCCCCCCCCCCCCCCCCTATCCCTAAACCAATTATCAAAATTTTTAATCTCATCCTCATCCCTAAACCTCAACATAACATCCCAAATAACCCCCTCTCTACTACCCCCCTACCCCTCCCCCAACCCCCACCAACACTAAATCTTTCTAACTTAACAAACCCCCACACCTTAATCAAAAAACCCCACCTATCCCCCAAAAACCCACCACCACTTACCCCCCCCACCTTCACAAAACCTACCACCTAAAATTCAACCCACTAAAACCCCAACACCCCCAATCCCCCCCACCAACCCTTTCCAAAAATCCATTCAAACCCCCCTACACCCCCCCCCCATCTATATCAACCCATCTATCATTACTTAATCCTCATCCCAATATTATCCCCCCTCTCTTCCATCACCCTCACAATCCTTATCTCACCCCTCATAATCCATCACACTTAACCAATCACACACCCCCCACCCCCCACCCACCCAACTTCCCACCACCCCCTACATACATCCCATCCCTTAACCACCCCAAAAATCCCTTCAATCCCCCCAACCAACCCAAACCATAAACCCCCCCCCCCTCCCTTCTACTCCCATCAATACCCATAAAATCATACCCCAACCAACCACCCCAACATCCTCTTTTCACCAAAATCCTAAAACCACCCATTCCATCCCCCTAATAAAATAACCCTCCTTCCTCACTTTACTTCCCACCCTCATTCAATCACTTCCTACCCACCAACAAACCACCTTCTCCTTACCCTCCACCAACCATCCCCCCTTACCACAAACCCTCTACCCCACACTCTACAACAACTAAACCCCCCCCCCCCACAAATATATATATCCCCCCCCCCCCACAACACACACAAAAATCCAATTCTCAATCCCCCTATACCCATTCCTATCTATACAAACCCCCTCATATATATATATACCAAATACAAAATAAATCCCCCTCCCCCACCTCTATACCCACCCCCCTAATACCGCCTCTCCTCCCTTCCCCCCTCCCACCTATCACCTCCCCCTTCCACACCTAAACCCCACACAACCATTCCACACACCACACAAACCTAATACCCCATAATCCCCAAAAACAAAATCCCCATCTATACACCCCCCATCCCCATATCCCCATACCCAAACAAACATATCTACCACCCCTCCCAACCCAACACCACACCCATACCCCCCCACCCCCCACTTTCCCCCTCTACCTCAAACCCCACACATCTCCTACCATAATCAAAAAAAATATCCCTCTATTTTTTTATATTATAATTAATCCTCCCCAAACCCTTTCCCCCTCCCCCTCCATCCACCCCCCATATCACCCAAAACCCTTCCCCCCTCAAAAACCTATACCCCCCCATTCCTCCCCCTTTCCCCTCTCAAACCCATTCCCCCTACCCCCCACCCCCATACCAATATCTCTACCCAAAACCACCCTCCTCTACTAATACCCATAAATCACCCCAATCCACCCCCCCCCCCAAACCCCCCCCCATTCTTAACCCCAAAACATATACCACATCCCCCCCTTACTTCCCCATTCAAACTCCTCTTCCCCCTACAAACCCCCCCTCTCGTATCACCCAATCCCTCCCCATCATAAACCAAACACCAATCTCACCCATACAAAAACCCCATAACACCCCATCTCCATCCTTATACTCCACCCACCTTCAATCCAAACCCTCACTCAACCCAAAACCCCCCATATCCACCCCACCCTTACCATCTACCCTTACCCCACACCCCAAACCTCCCCCCCTCCCTTTACCCCCTTCAACATCCTTACACCCCCACCCACCCTCCATCCATCCTCTCCCCTCACCCCCCTTCCCAAATAACATATTACTACCCTATTCATAATACTCTAACACCCCCAACTACCCCCTCTCTCTTCCTATTCTCACTCCTTTTCTCTTCCCTCCTCCCTCTCTATCAACACCCATATCAACCTCCCCCCTACTACACACCCCCACCCCCCCCCAATCCTTCCAGATCCAAAATCCACCCCCCCCCAAAACCCCCCCCCACCACACTAATCTACCCTTTAACATCACCATCTTAACCCCTATACCTCTACCCAACCCACCCACCACCACCTACAACAAAAAACACCCACCCCCCACCCCCCCACCCATATTAAAACCAAAACTATTCCCAATCCACCCCAACCCCCCTATCCCCCAATCTTAACATTCCAACTTCAATAACTAACAACCTCCATATCACCACCACCCTCAAACACAACACACTAACAACCCCAACACCTTCTTACAATACTCTTTCAACTTAACCCCCACCACCAAATTCTCCTACCAACATACACCCCCTATCACCCCCAACCCCCCCATATCATACCCAACACCCCCCCACCCCCTATCATCCCCCCCAATCACACCCATAACCCCATATACCCCTCCCATAATCCCTAAACCCCCCCCCATACCCTACCCAACCCAAATTCAATCAAAATCCATCCATTCCCCCCACCATAAAAAAACAACCCTAAACCATAAACATACCCCAACAACCAAATAAAAATTATAACCCCAAAACCCTAAACCAACCTACTCATACAAAAAACCCCCAAACAAATCAACCCCATTCACATAACCATAACCCCCCACCAAACACAAATAACCCAATAAAACCCCCCCACCATACATATCAAACCCCCCCCCCCCAACCCAAATAAAAAAACTTAAAACCCCCACCCCCCACCCCATACTTTCAAACCCCTCTAAAAACATACCCAAAACCCTAAAAAAAACCCTATCATTATCCTACTTTACCCCTACCCACATACCCCAATCCCTCCATACCCTTATTTCCACTCCCACCCTCAATTACCAAACAAACTTCCCCTCCCCACTTATCTTTACCTTTATATACCCTCTCCCCTTTTCACATCTACCCAATTATTCCCCAACCAACCCCCCTTTCCCATCACCTCCACCTCATCAACCAACTTCCCCTCCCTCTCTCTACTTACTTAACAACCCCTCCTTCCCCCCCCATCTTTCCCCCATCCCCCCCAACCTTCAAAAAACAACCAACCCCCCAAAACACCCATATCAATCATCCCCTACTTAATATTTCTTCCACTCATCTCCCCCCCCACCCCCTCCCCCCACCCCCACCACATTCCCCCCCACCCCACACCTTCCCCCACTCACACCTCCATCACTCCTCAACCAATCAATATCACCCCCCCATTATCAATATAATCATCCCACAAACAAACCCCCCCCCACCCCCTCCTCCTTATCCTAAAATCTCCTCTTATTTTCCTCATATAAACAAATCATCCACCCTTCCCCCCCACCCTTCCCCTCCCCTATTCCCCACACCCTTACCCATCACCCCCAATCATCTTCCCTAATCTCCCCATCCCATCCCAACAATCTTAATACCTCCATCCACATATCCCCCCACCACCTATCTCCCCCTACCCCTCCCAATTACACCCCATTCCCCTAAAATCACAAATATCTTACAACAAAACCCCCCCCCACTCCTCATTTCCTATCTTAAACCCCTCATCCCCATCCCTCCCAAACCCATCCTCCTACTCCATATTCACCAACATCCAATCACATTTCCATAACCCCCCCCAATATCCCCCTCATATACATCCAAAAACCCCACTCCCCAATCCCAACCTTTCCCTCTACCTTCACTATTCCCTTAACAAATCCACCATCCCATCAATCACTCATTATTATCTTATTCTACCCTCCTTTCCATAACCACCACATCCCAACCCCCCACAACAAAACCCTCCCTTTCTTCTCCCCCCCCCACCTTTTCACCTCCACCCCCACCTCCCCTTAATCCCCCTCCATATTATCCTTATCCACCCTTCTAATCACACCACCCCCCCCCCCCCAAATCCTCCCACTACCACATAATCCCTAAACCAACTATCCCTCTCCATCTCTTACCCACAAATCCCCCCCCCAACCACTTCCCCATCAAACTCAACCCCCCGTCCTAAAAACCTCCACCCCTCTTTTTCCCCTTTATTTTCCCTCAAACCCTCCCCTATAATCATTCCCATTCCCTTTCATTATCTTCCAACTCCTCCCTCTCCTCCCCCTCACCCCCCCAATCTCCCATCTACCAACAATCAAAACAACCCAACATACATCAAAAAACCCCCCCACCCTTCCCCAATCAAATACAAAACATTTCTTCCTTTCTATCCTACTCTCACACACCCACCTTCTTTCACCCTCCCCCTACCCTCCTTTCCCCAACCCCCCACACCCTCATCCCCCCATTACTATCCCTATCCCCACATTACTATACACTTATTTCTCAACCTCCCTGCATCAATTACCCACCCCCATTTCTATAACACAATCCACACACAAAAGCAAAACCACACCCACTCCCTATACTCCTCCCATTAATCAACATATTATCCTTATATTCTCCTCCCCCCATCCCCCCAACACCCTCCATCCATTACCATTCCTACACCCATCCATTCATCCAACATCCCACCCCCCTCATACTTACTCCACTTTTCCATTCTATTCCAACCAAACACATACCTCACACACTTCCACCAACAACTCCCCCCCCACTACCCACCCCAACCACACCCACTAATAAATTTAACAATATCCATAAAATAAACAACCTATCTTCCCTACCCCCACTATCATACACATTACCCCAACATACTTCCCCATACCCCTTTCCCCCCCCCTTACCCCCCCCTATACATATATTTATATCCCCATTCCACCCAACCAACCCCTCCCCCTCTTTCCTTTAACCCCAACTCAATACACTTTCATTTCTCCCCCCCCCCCCACACCCCCAACTATAAATTCATAATAACCCCTCTCAAAATTCCACCTCCACCTATAATCTTCCC